TGAAATGACTATCGATATTATCAAATTAAAATGGTATCAACGTATTTACAAACGTACTGGAGTTTGGAAACATTTGACAAGTCCTCTGTACATCTTAACAACATTATATTTAGCAATATTATTTACACCAACTACGTTTTTGTCTACTACGTGGTATCCTTGGGTCTACTATATTACAAATCATGATGAATCTTTAAGTAAGTTATCATGGAAATTCTCTATTATATGCATTGTTTTCATTCTAGCGGAGAAATATACAGTTATTTTCAATATATCGGCAGCTGCATCTATCATCATCTGTCCGATCCATGGATTTCTTCTTGATTTCCAAGCTGATCGAAGTTAGTGACGAAAAACTAAAAACAAAATTCATATCTAAAAATTGTATACCTTTGATATATTTAGGTAAAGCACGTCAGTGGCTCAATATCTCAATATCACAGACAATAACATGGATAGTGAGTATTATATCCTGTATTTTATGTATGTTTGTGACAACAAATGTTATAATTGTTGCTCTTATTTTCAATGGTATTGCTCATGCAACAATCGAGGCTGGTAATATAGCAATTATAGCAAGCTGGTAAGCATTACTATAATATAGATATTTTCTATGAATTAAAAATCAGTATTCATGTTAATAAAGTCGGAATACACGTAGAGAGAGTATAATCACGTTAGTAATAATAAAAATGATTTGATCAAATTATTTACGATCGTTTAAAATTTTACACTCGACAAGGTGTTTGCAGCACTTTCATCAATTAAAAACTCTTTCTCTCTATGAAAATGATCTGTTTTAGTTTTCCTTCGGAATATCTTGGCACGCTAATTGGTGTCATGTGGACGGTAGCTGGTCTCATTATTTTGATTCAATATGGACTCAGTGAATTAACATACGATATACCTATGTCTTGGAGGGTAAGTGTACAATGCATCGAATTATCTATTTATGATCAAATTAATGCGATATATTCTATTCAGGCTTGGCTTATTTTGGCTGTGTTAATTACATTGATGTTATGTCATGTGGTACAAGTATGGAGGAGATATGCCAACGAACTCAAACATCAAATGTCAAGTTCACAAAAGCGAAGCGAAAAAGTGCACAATGACGATGTAATTATTTCAAGACTGTGAAATTTTTTTTTGCTATTTTCATCTAATTATAAAAAATTGCTGTAGTATAAATGACTGAAAAGATTAACTGTAAATAACGCTTGTCGAAGAGCAAGTCGTTTGATCTTATCAATCGTTTTTGTTCTTTTTATGAAAGAGTGAATTTATTTTATAAGAATTCAATATATTAAAAAGGATAATTAGATTTTAAATCGTTGAGTTCTAGACCATTTTCACATTGTTCTTGATGTTTTTCATCTAA